GTGTTTTATGATAACTCATCCTTTAAATTCGTCTCTCAAGTTAAAATAATTTATTTTTTCGTATGTTAACGTTATTTTATGTAAGTCCAATAATAAAATAAATAATATATAAAATTAGCTTTTTGGATTTTTTATTTTATAACCCAGCAGTACTAATTAAATACAATGTGGTAGGCCTATATAATAACGCAATGGTAAATACCGGAGATTCTCACCTTGCGTTACTTATCAAATTATAGGTTGGTTACTGCTCTTCTACCTGAAAGTTCGCAATGTATAATTTATTTATTATGGCGTATATTACAAACGGATTAATTGTAACTATATAAAAAGGTATATCAAGTCGTGTGATTTTCATTTTATGCTAATGGTAATCAACCAGTAATAAAAAGAAAGCATAATCAAAATCTTGAAGGTTTAAAGTTCATTAAATTCATTAAAATGATAAGAGGGTAATTTATTGACAACAAGGTAATGAAGAAAACTTCCATTTGCAATTCAAATCTAATTCCTTTAAGTAACTCATAAAGGAATCAATTACATTATTTAATTATTTATAATATTAAAAAGCTAAACTTGGAATTAGATCTTTTTGATTGTACAAGTCTTTATTTTTGTAATTAATGAATTAGTACTATGTTCGTAGTGTTCCTGATTAGGCTTACTCTTGCAAACACAATACAAGTTGTCTGATTTTCAGGGCAACTATTGCAGATAATATCTCAACAGCAACCTCGATGATGGCTAACTAGTTTGTAAACTAGTTTTCTTTTCTATCAAACTTTCCATGGTTAATTCATGACATTTCTGTATTTAACCGTTGGCACCACGTTATTGTGAATTGCCAAAATCACACCATAGTATTATAACAGAGTGTGTTTTATTTCTAAGACTGGCTGTGTTCGAATTTAAACCTAGGCCGATAGAATATAATTTTTGTAAATATAGACTTAAGTGTTAGTGATAAGAAGATGACTTAGACCCTTGGAGATGCCATATAATGTGGACAATTGCATAGGGTAACAAAAACATTTTACCTACTCAAAAACTACAGGCTACAAAAACACAGTTAACAAGAATAAAATATAACAAAGAATTAGGACAGTCTAAATATTATTTTAAATAGGCCAATTTTAAAAGGGGATGTGTTTATATAAAAAGGTTTAATACGCACTTAATCAATGATTTCGGAAGATGTTTTAATGTATAATTTTTCCAATTAAGGCACACATTATGTCTACTAACAAAAAGAAAGAAGATTAAATATTTCAGGTGAAATTGTTTTGGCCATGTAGGCTAAATAATACAGGTGGTGTATTATCTGTGTTTGTATAACAATGCAAAGTCAACACAAAAGGACATCCACCTATGGACTGCTCTTGAGAAGATATTTGACTGCTATGTTGACAATATGGTAAGAATGTTTTGACTCTTTCAGACCTCTGTGGATTTTTAAGGGCAAAATAACATGTAACTTATTTTTCACTTTAAAATCATATTGGTCAATTATATAAGTATAACTCAAGTACGTGTTACTGTTTTTATTCCCTATTCTTAACTTCCTTATTCAAAACTCGGAGAGTGTCTCCAAACTCTTAACTAACCTTTTAAGATATGATTCCTGGACCAACAAAAACTAAAAAGGATGTTAAATATTACTAAATCTCAACAGTTATCCGAAACCCCGTTATAATTGTTTTATTTACAACACTATTTTAATTTGAAACTGCTCCTTGCAGTGAATTTCAATTTGGTATATAATTTCTGAAAAGACTATTAAAACAAGTTATAAAGATTTTTTTATTCCAAAACAGTGGTCGCTTTACATTTATATCCTTAAAAATATTCAAATTTCATTGACTGAATTTAAACAGTTTAACTCAATTCACGTGTTTCTGTGTTTAAGGAAGTCTGTTTACAAATAAATAAAAAAGCATTTTTAACATACCATTTACTCAAAAATACCTGCGGTCTTTAGGTAACATTACAGTTAGTTGATGAACAGTCAGCTTTTTTATATTAAAAAATTATAGGCTAGACCTAGATTTTAATAGCGATCCACTTTTCAATCAAAATATTGCTAATACTGTACTATATATTTCAACAGTTAGATTCCCATCCGTTGTTAGACAATCAGATTATAACGCATTAATGAAGTTGGAGCCCCGTAGGCAAGTAAGTATAATTAATACAAACCGTGTGGACTTTTTCTTTAAACGTAGGTTCCATTACTTATCTGTGAAGATGTTCGGTCTTTTAAGTTAATTATGGGCTCGTTTGTCAAATATTCAAAATAATCTATTCCAAAGATCTACAACACTATTAAATGATCAGACAAATTTCATAAAGAGATATTTTATTGTTTCACTTTGGCAAATATAAATAAAACTACAAATCATATATGACCTAAGTCGGCTATGGAAAATGATGTGACCACAATAAACTAATAGACACTAATTCATTGATTAAAAATCAAGTGTAATTTGAGTGTAAGTGTGAGATTTTAATAGCCACCTGCCTAACGCAAACCATCGCGCCTTTGTATCGCAAAATAAATATCTGGTCGAGACAGTAGGTTGAGGGGGAATGCTAAGTCACGAAAATGTCAAAAATAACACTCCAAAGGTATGTGAATATTAAACACTTTGTTGAATTGGAATTTTCAAGACCATTAGCATTACGATCACAACTGTAATTCACACCTTAACGTAAACTTGTTGAACATCTTCCAGAACACTCATCAGCTTATCAGCAGCCAACCACGGAGCGCCAAGCCGATGTAGACAGTGCAGCCAACCACGGAGCGCCAAGCCGATGTAGACAGTGCAGCCAACCACGGAGCGCCAAGCCGATGTAGACAGTGCAGCCAACCACGAAGCACCAAGCCGATGTAGACAGTGCAGCCAACCGATAGATAAATAACCTACTCATTTGCACTGGCATATTTTTCTATATTACATTCTTTATATTATACAGTTTTAATTTTTGTTTAAGTACTCAACAGAAGGTCTTTTCCGTCTACAACTGTTGACTACAACTAAACAAAAAAAAGTCGTGCAAGTATAAGTATGTAAACTGTTATAAATATAACTCTATTTGATTTACAAAACGTTTGTAAAAACTATTTTCATCTTGAAATACAACAAACGACTTATTTTTATTACAAATAAGTGTTCTTGAGGTGTGTGAAGGTATCAATAAAAAAAGAGAAGTAACAGCTTAAAATTCTATACCAAGTTGCAAATATACAATTAAAAACTAATGTATCTGTACGGGAATTGAACATTTTAAATTCCAAATGGGAGATACAATAAGGGAAAATTTTTTATCATACGAGCATGCAAAACAACATGTCACGTGCGAGTAATACGAGCCACTAGTGACAATGTATTTACTATCATCACTGGCTTTATATTTTCTATTTATAATTTTGTATTTTTTCGTTCCCTAATTTATGTATTACTATTGTATTATTTTTCATTATAGCTGTTTTTGGTTTATATCTGTAGCTACTTTAAATTGTTTATAAATAAATTAAACTTATTTATCAAATTAATTCACTTTATTCTAAAGAGGTCATATTGAGCACATGTAAATGATGTAAACAAACTTTAATAGTTATAATTTAATATAAAACTAATCTGATGCCCATATGATTATTAGTTTTAAAACGATAAACCTACTAAATCGGATAATTCTTTTTTAAACACCCTGTAGTAATATGCAATGTCCTCAAAACATATGGAAATGGAATCGTAATTTGTTACTGTTATAAATAATGCGACGAAGCATTATACGCCTCCTGAGCATTTCCAAGCTTATTTATAAGCCAGGAAAAGTACTCAATTGAGGGTTAACTGGCATTGTATACTGATTTATATCTTAACAAAACTGTGTAAAGACATTTTGGTACTTCAGTATTAAACGGAGGCCACATTTTGTCAGCGCGCTGCGGTTATGTTAGGTTGGGTTATCATAAATATTATGTGTGTAGGACTTTCCTAGCTTCGTTATGAATCGAACGATACTTTCTATTATGATAACCCAACCTAACATAACCGCCGCAGCGCGCTGACAAAATGTGGCCTCCGTTTAATACTGAAGTACCGACATTTTAATAGCACAACAAATAAAACCCTACTATTACCATCTACTAAATTATAACAAACTAAGGTTCTAAATTTCAATCTCCAACTCGTTAATATATAATGATTATGTAATGGCCGTTATGTAGTGTAGGTCACCACAATTCCCTCTTGATGTACCTCTACATGACGAGACAACAATTGCCTTACATCAAAATAAGGCACTAGGCTAGTAAAAGTTAACGTAGGTTTTTTATTTGAAAATTATTCTGATTAATAAAGGTGAAGAAATTGAAACAAACTGTTGTGACGAGAGAAATTATGAAGTTTAAAGTTTTAGGCCTATTTTAACGAATAACTGAAGATTATTTTGTTTATTTACTTTATTCTTTTAATTGAATGAATTTAAAAATATAAATAAGTATATCATAATGTTTTACTTGTCAAATCAGAATGAATTATATGCAACACAAATCCAAAACATTATCCGGCAGTGCTTCAAGCGGGTAAGTGACCAGCTACCTGCCTTGCTCTACTGTGTTTTTACTTTGGGGAACATATTACCAACAATAGCACATATATTTAGACCGGGTTTATTTTTTGTGTCGATAGCTCTTAGAGGGTAGACACAGACTTGGCTATAAGGTTATCAGTAATGCAGTTCAACTTGTTATCTCAAAACTCTCAAACGAATCGTAACGTGAAGCCTAATTCCGTGGTTGACTTCTACCCGAACCTTTAAAATATATTTGCGACTTTGTAACTTTTAAATAAAAAAGTTCGTTAAAATATCATGTAAATTGTGTTGGGAGAAGTAAATGATACTTCATAATGACTGTGACGCTGGTACACATAATTTGTAACATATGAGAAGATAATTGTCGAAAAAATACAAATATTCACGTTTCAGTTCAACTTGTGTCAGTGAAAAACACGGACTAAAATTATGTTACTGGTGAGCTTGTTTGGTAAGTGAGGCACTTTTCTTACTTTAGTTTTATAAATAATTTTAGGGTTTACTAATTAATAACTAGCATGGTATTATTTTTACATGTAAGTACATACATTTTAATACTTGGCACGGTTACTATGTCCCAGAACGTAGGTGTACACAAAAATTAAAACATACTTTTAAGGAGACATATAAAAAGTTTTGCTGTTTGTTTGTTTGTTTTTTTTAATAATTAATGGCTTGATATAATATTAATTGACTTACTTACTAAACTAAGTATATCCCACATCTACCTGTTTTAATAACTTAAACACGAAATGAGAATTTATTTTGCTGCTCGTATATCAAAGAGTATATTTTCAAACTTTTTCAAACATAATTTCACAACCACATAATTGCATTAAATATGGGAGAATACACAAACAATTAAAAGCGCGATTTTTGTCATACAAAAGTTTGATATTTATTAAATATATATTGTTACATCAAAGGTTATTATAATTAATTACTATTGGTATTAATTAATTTCATTTTAATAATATAATATATTTTAATCAAATTCCAATGGAGCAGGGCTTTATGGGAAAAGGCTTGTTTTGAGGGTTTTATAAGATTTTACAGATTCTCATAAAAACATAAACATTTGCAAATTCTATTCTCAAACACTTTGTAGAGCTTTAAAATAAAAAGATTCTGTAATTTTAAGTGTTGTTTTACTCTACATAGTTAAAGATAAAAATGCAAATAAAACATTTATTCTTAAATTTCTATGCTATTCTTATTGAGAGTACGTAGCTTTTCGTTTTTAGATTTATAAATATATTTGATTTAGAAGTTTGGCATAATAAATACATTTTATAATAAACTGTTTAAATTATAGTACTGTACCAAAACACTTTATTACCATACTTGCACCAGTAAACCAAAATAATCATTAAACCGAGTTTTTATTTTTTAAGGCGTAATCCTGTGATTTTAAGAAAATATTTTAATGCAAAAAATAATCTAAATAGGAAGTAGTCTATGACATATACCATTCCACTTGATGCAGTTAGGTAAGTGGGTTTGTGGATCAGGCGGAAGAACAACATAGCTAAACAATTGGTTCTCTTTTATGGTTACTTTAAATTAAACGTAAGATTGAAAGGGTATTGTTTAGTGATAACAACATATATGGCTAGGATAAACAAATTTGTTGGAGAGGCTTCTATCAAATTGCCACGAATTATGTTCAGTTGCAAATTGAGCAAATTCATGCTCGTACAGTATATTATGCTCAGTATTAAAACATCTAACTAAATATATAAATCGCGCAAACGCAAAGCAAACCTCGATAAAGGCAGTGTATTTCAACTACGGAATATATATTTATGTTTTAAATTACATACATATATATATTTTCGCTTTTATTTGCTGTGGTATTCTGAATATTTATGAGTGTAATTTTGTTTTTTAGTCGTCTTAGCCGAGTACTGTATTATATTACATGCAACGGACCCTGTTCCCAAGACGAACGTGAACGCTGATACAACTTCAAATACACTGGCGAATCAGAAAAGGGGGAAAAGCGAAGAAAATTTAAATGTTCAACACGATGCTTCAGGTGAGCTCTCGACCACCTTCTCTGGTAAAGCCTTAGAAAGACAGGATACTGGAAATAACTTTAATCTAGAAGAGTTATATTCTAATGATGTTTAAGGCGGAGATAATAGAGATGAAAAATTAGAAGATGCAAAATCAAAAACTAATTTTGAAAATCTACGATCACTATATGGTTATGATCACGCCTATTTTGAAACATCTGTTAACTTGGGTGGTGCAGAAAAAGAGGATAAGAAGATAAATGAGCAAATAGGAAACCTATATGGTACGTTTAAGGAGAAGTATGTCCTTCCAATTGCACCTGATAATCTCCGTTACGCCTTTATAGTAAGTAAATTGAATTCATGTTAAATTTCAAATGTACGTGTTATATATGCTGTGTTGGTTTAACCTATAGTCAATGGTTTAACTTACTGGTTTTAAATTGCCAGCTGTTGTCAATGTTAATATTGTATGCTTACTAATAATTAAAACACATGTTATTAATTTAAAGGAGAGAATGAAAACAAAAGAGTTGAGTGTGTTGTCAAATCTTGGTCTTCGGGTGTTGACCGCGTCGTTGAATAAGTTAAACTAGAGGCCGACGTTTCGGATGCGTAGCAGCTATCCATCTTCGGGGCGAACTACTATTCAACTGAAGCTGGATGGATAGCTGCTACGCATCCGAAACGTCGGCCTCTAGTTTAACTTATTCAACGACGCGGTCAACACCCGAAGACCAAGATTTGACAATCTGCAGTGACCGTGGAAGCTTATTAGTACAATAAAAATATGTTTTGACCCAAAAAAAATTAGCACAGGCGGGGAATTTGGTACAGATGTTGGGTGTACCTTCCTTTTGAACATACTAAAAGTCCCCTAAAATTGAAGCTGTGCTACGGCCGCCATATTGGAAAATGGCGGCATATTTCTGTATTTTTGGCTATAGTGACTTTACTATTAGAGATACAGAAAAAAGTTAAAAATACAAAATGTAGTCCATCTAATAATAGGCCTACACATTTTTTGTATTTACCGTTTCCCTCTAAACCCAACGGTTTTTGGGTTATTTATGATTTAAGTATATTTAGGTTTTCTATTTATCAAAAATAGGCGAAACCCATGGAAATCGACGGTTACTTTAAAGGTTTACGACAATTCATCCGATTTAAATAGTGTAATACTATAAAATCTTAAAATGTAACTTTATTTTATGAGTAAAACAACTTCACCACAGCTAACCTGCAAACTCAGCAAGTTTTCGTTTGATAGGATGTTTAATTAAATGTATATAAATAAAATTAGGTTTAACAGGTTTCTAGGTTTGCTGCTACAGGGATGTTGGTATAGTGCGTTTTTTTAGTAAAATATCAATAAATTAGTATAAAATAAACTAATTTTCCAAGTTTGATCACAATAAATACATAAACAAGCAAACTACAACAGTTAACTTATTCATAAGAATAGTACGGGAGTTTTAAATTTACAATTTCAAATTTAAATATACAAATGTTGGTTGTGTTTACTAAAAAATATGGCAATTATTTGTCACGATTCAAATATTAACCGAAGGGGTTTTCAAAAGTAGATGGATTAATTATTAAATGGATAAAAAAGGGGAAAAAATATTAATATGACTATTGCGTAGTTTACAAAATATGGTTGATTACCTTACTGTATACAATATTTCCGGTACTTGGTACGAATTAATATTACTTAAATCATTTGCTCCAACCTTCTTATGAAAACCCCTCCGGTTAACATTTGAATCGTGACAAATTATCGCCATCTTTTTTAGTAAACACAACCAAAATTTGTATATTTAAATTTGTAAATTGTAAATTTAAAACTCCCGTACTATTCTTATGAATAAGTTAACTGTTGTAGTTTGCTTGTTTATGTATTTATTGTGATCAAACTTGGAAAATTAGTTTATTTTATACTAATTTATTGATATTTTACTAAAAAAACGCACTATACCAACCTCCCTGTAGCAGCAAACCTAGAAACCTGTTAAACCTAATTTTATTTATATACATTTAATTAAACATCCTATCAAACGAAAACTTGCTGAGTTTGCAGGTTAGCTGTGGTGAAGTTGTTTTACTCATAAAATAAAGTTACATGTTAAGATTTTATAGTATTACACTATTTAAATCGGATGAATTGCCGTAAACCTTTAAAGTAACCGTCGATTTCCATGGGTTTCGCCTATTTTTGATAAATAGAAAACCTAAATATACTTAAATCATAAATAACCCAAAAACCGTTGGGTTTAGAGGGAAACGGTAAAAAAAAAATGTGTATTATTAGATGGACTACATTTTGTATATTTAACTTTTTCCTGTATCTCTAATAATAAAGTCACTATAGCCAAAAATACAGAAATATGCCGCCATTTTCCAATATGGCGGCCGTAGCACAGCTTCAATTTTAGGGGCTTTTAGTATGTTCAAAAGGAAGGTACACCCAACATCTGTACCAAATTCCCCGCCTGTACTAATTTTTTTTGGGTTTATGGAATTTTTCGCTTATTTTTACTGCACTATATCATCTAGTTGAGTGTGTGTTGCCTTTTAAAGAAGATGTTAGTTAAATGGTTCAAATAAAATGTCGTTATTGCATACTTTTTTTACTTTCACTGAGTACTCATTGTTTTTTGTCAGTTTATTCGTAACAGTACGTGTTTCAATATACTTAGTACATAGATAAACAGTTAGCAACTAATCCTTTTAATCAAATCATTATGCGAAATAAAACTGTTCATAATTAAAAATAGCATTCTTTCATCGCAAATTATAATATTCGTAGTCGTTTAAACTGCCAAAACAAGACTTTCTAAAAAAAAATGTCACGTTACTAATATCTACCGAAAGGGCTACATATAAAGATTACTAAAGCAATTTGTGTAATAACAAATGTATCCAAACAAATCCTTAGATGTATCCAAACCACTTATATTTTACAAAAATGATTTTGATATCATGAAACAAGATTTAGTTTGATAAAAAAACTTAACTAAAAAATAAAAAAATCTCGACTTTAAATATTCATGAATTAATGTAGACAAGGATACAATACCGTCACTAAAAATCCAAGTAGTCCTAAACATTAAACAATCTCGCAGTTTTCAAGTTGAGAATTGTTTATTATAAAATGAACTAGATTTCTCTAAACATTTTGTAGCCTACGTATACAAGACGCAAAAGCGCATGACGGAAGTGGCTCGAATAGGTGACGCAACTTTCAACATAACAACAACAGTTGGACCGAAATTTGTAGTTTATAAAAACTATTTCCAACGAGTTTATCGAAATAATGTTTACAATATACGCATTTTACAGATATTCAGACACGGAATAAGATCACCTATGCATTTTCCCTTTCAAACAATTTGGGCATTTCAAAAGATGTGGGGCTTTGGAATAGGACTTCTCACCAAAGTAAGTAAGCAGTAAGCACATGTGTATTCTTTGTGTAGGCCTAATTTGTTTGCAAGATTATTCATGATAGTTATAATTTCTCTACTTAGATTATCTTTTATTGGCCTTTTTATACAGGTGGCATTTTCAGCTTAGGAATTATATAATTTATGTTCCATACGCTTGTACAAAACCTTTAAAAATCTTAAGAAACTATAAAAACTTTTCATTTTTACAGCGTAATATCCCTTAGCTATGTTATCAAAGGCATATGACAGTGGTTGGTAGATTAAAGTTTTAAAACGCAATAGTGAACAAGATTTTTGATTAAAGGTAAGGTAAAGTTTTTTGTATTTTAAACAGTTTTCAAGTAAAATCAGTATAAATTCAAAACTATTAAAATTTACATTTCCCTTATGTTTGCGCCTCAAATTAGGGCAGTTTGTATTTAACCACGATTAACAAACTTTCTCTTTCATTAAAATCGCTGATTTTCTACATAATATAAATGAATAAATCCATAAAAGCAGTTTAAACGCAATATACAAGTACAAAGTACTCACTTTATTACATTTGAGGATTTATTTCTTAGTCAATTACTTCCATTATACATACCAAATATAACCCGTTACCCAAAAAACTATAGAAAATACTTATTTTTATACTTTATTTTAGTTTTAGCTATTACAATTATTAAAAGTGTTGATAAGCTTGGTTAAAACTTAATACAGGGATATATTAATGACAGAAAACCTGCATGTTTAGCAGATTCCCAACAGATTTTTATTTATTTATTTATTTGTCAACGGTTCTACCATTTTACTACATAGAAGTAATTAAACATTACAAGATAGATATAGGTAGATAGATAGACATAAGATTTACAAATAAAATTAACAAACAATAATGTAAGCAATAATGATATTTTTAGCTATAATGGTTATACATTTAAATTCTGAATAATAATTGAATAATTGAAATTGAAAATAATACGAAGGTATTTTTCCAAATATGACTCCGATTGAAAAATTAAATTGCTCTTGAATAATGCACCAATCACACGTGCAACAAGTTCATGAAAATACTGAGGGACTTAGTAAGTTACCATGCTCCAATTTACAATTACAAGACTGTTTGTTTCAAAAGTGCAAGTACACAAATGCAATTTAATCTTTTATAACAATATTTATTTGCTTTGTAAGCAAACAAATAAAACAAGCATGCATTGGCTGGGTATGAGAATTCAGGCAAATGATGATAAATTTAATACAAGATAAGATACTCGCAAGTGGTTTAGAACATACACTCTCGTGCTAAGAAAAACATTGGCTACTATGGCGTAACCATATTGTATAGGGGCCTATTTTTCCCTTCTGAAGTAGGAGACAGCTTGAGTTGATGTGTTAACGCCAAATCGAAAAATAATAGGTATCCCACTGTAGGCGTAGTACATAGGCATGCATTTACCTCTTATTACCTCCTCCTTGGCTTGATACCAGCATAAGCTGGTTAGGCTGCGTCAACTATTTACAATTTTAAGAATGAAAGCAAATATTTACAATATTTACAGCCTTCCATTTAGTCAGATTAATAAACTTAATCGAAGACAAATAATAACTTAAGTCAGATTAATAACTTAATTAATTTGACCTAAATAGGATAATAAGATGATTAGATGCTTTGTTAGATGGTGTTGCATGTTTGCTAATGCCAAAACCAACTAGTCTATTTATTTGTCTTACGTAGTATCCTACAAATTGCTAAGAATTTAGTACTTTTCAATAAGGTTATAAGAAACTAACTAATTGTTCTATTGGCAAATTCAGTTTAATATAATCATATAATTGGTAAAGTTCTCAGTGAAATTATAATTTGCGGGAATTGCTGTGCTATTCCAGGATAGATTAGTTTGATGCTCTTGGACAGATGAAGAAGTTGTCATAAAGTTTAACTTAGTAGTTTCATTCAGTAGTACTATATGATCAGGTGTGTTTATTGTATATGAATGGACTTAACCCTTAATAACTGTTGTTGGATTAAAAGTAATGAAAACGGCATTTTAGCCCGTAGCGAATAATGGCTTTAGTGGGTTCATAGTACTGTAAAAAAGCACCAATTACACTTCCTATGCTGTCTAACCTGCATGTATCAAGTGTATTCTGTTTTCAGAGAGGTCGGCGTTTAATGCACCACGTGGGCGAGTCTCTTGGCACAAGATACAACAAGCTTGTCCCTCATTTCGACAAGAACGTTGTCCAGTTTTCATCCTCTAAAGTTGGACGTGCACGGAAGAGCGCAAAGTGTGTGGCAACTGGGATGTTTGGCCCAAATGACCCTGTCTTCACAGACAAAGACAGCTTAACATTGGCTCCATGCAAAAACCTACCTGGTGTAGAGGTTGGGAACTTTGACAAGTGCGATGTGAGTTTTAGATATTTTTACATATTTATCGAAAAAAGCAGTTTAAATTGCAATCGTAGGTCACCAAAAGACATATAAACATATAAGCAAACAAACAGATGGATGGTCTTTTATATATGACTTGTCTTGGCCTTTATATGCCATACATTGTAAAAAGAAGCCAAAGCCGTATGATTCCCAACATCAATAATTCAACTATCTAAAATTGTTGCAGGTAAGGTGACATACATTTCCCTCCTAAACACGCAGCTTTGACACAATATTTTACTATGCATACAAATATGTTGCATGTTAATAACTACCAGCTGCACAAAAGCCAATTTTGATAGTGTTATTACTTTCCTTTTCCAGCTCTTTGCCGATGTTGATTTAAAATGGTTGAACCAATGCAATATGTATACCAGATTGAGAAAACAAAGTCAACAAAGGGAAAAGCAAGAAGTGTCCCCTCAAAGAAAGGTATTCTATAATTTGCTGAATGAGTGCATTCATAACTCGTACCAAATACCAGGCTTTGCAAGGAAACTTTACCACAGTGCCAAGGCTTTTGATACATTCCAATCATGGGTAAGTAAGGGAAGGTTGTATAAAATCTCTTCACGGACAAATATTTTAAATCTATAAATTTTAAATATGAACATTTGTATATTTGAATAGACTCAAGCTCCAGAGATTATTTAATGAAACTTCCATATCTCCCATTTCCTTTGGAAATTCAAAACGAACCTTGAAAAAGAATTTCGCAAAATCATGTAAAAAATATATGCTTGAACAATACCTTGGATATGAGCTGACTTGTTTAGTTAACAGGATAAAGTTACCCTTGATAAGCTCCAATTCCAATAGCGTGATAACAATAAAATTATAATTTGAATTTTAGACCCTACTATCAATAAAATATTATGAGATTAAGATGCTCAACAATAATATAAATCACACTAAGAATGTAAATAAGTGGTTTCTTGGTAAGTACATTCCCAAAAATGATGATTGAAAGATATATAGTTGATCACTGGATTTTTGTCTCAAATTGAATTGAAAATAAATCGTGATATTTTGTTCAAGATATTTACAATAGATAATGAAATGCCCATTTATTTCTCTAACCATTTAGTTTACAAGATAGTCTGCATGTAAAAGGTGCATAACCCTGATTTGGTAAACCTTTTGAAGACTAAGCTTGTCTTTGAGGCCAAAATTCGAATCTCTTAATAAACTATAGTTTATATTATAGTACTTGTTAAATAGGTAATTTGATACTTCCAGTTGCAATGTGCCCCCTGTATGCATCGTTCGCTTTTCAATTATACTTATTCACTTGGATGATGAGAGTGACCTGCATATTAGATATTATTCTTTAAAAACACATATGTTGGTTTAAGAACACATTTTGATATTTGGTAAAGTAATCAAGAGAGTAATAAATAACGTAAAAAGTACGTTTAAGAAAATATTGAAGTTGTGGATATAGTTAAAAAAGATCTATGCCAAAAATATTTATAATAATTGAACAATACATTTTGATAAATTTATTTTAATCTTAAAATAAAACCTCCAATGATTCAATAATTCAATAATTTATTTCGGCCACTAAGCAAAAGCGATAGGCTAAGTCACTTACAATACAAAATAAATAATAAATAGTCCATCTCTTGATTCACAAATAAATGCAAGTTAGATAAATATAATAATAAGGAAACAAATAAAATTAATCAAAACAAAACTGTAGCAAAACCATGCAACAAAAAACAGGCAAGAAAATAGCCAAGCAAGGCAGTGCATGAGCATTACCTATAACAAAACTGGTAGTCCTACTTTAAAAAATTCAGACAGGTCATAAAAAGGGTTTTCTATCAACCAGTCCTTCATTACTGCCTTGAACCTTGAAATAGGCAAGCCCCTTATGGCTACTGGTATTACCCTTATGGTACTGGTAGATGGTTGAAAAATCTGTAACCTGAAACAGGGAAACATTTAATTGTTCTGGTTAGCCTGTGTGTATGCGCAAAAACATTTAAACAATTTCTTGTGGCATAGTTATGTACTTGGTTGTTTCTCAAAAGGTGCACTTCATTTGCCATTTCTAAAAGACATTGAAAGATATATACATTGTATACAGTCATAATGCGGTTTTATTGGACCAGAGGAAGGCAGTGTTCCAGGTACTGGGCTCCACTCAGCACCCTGACAGCCTCCTTTTGCAACACTAGAATTTTACTCACACCAAAAGAATGACCCCAGAGCCTGGTTCCGTAAATAATGGTGGAGTGGAAAAAAAACAAAATAAGAGGCTCGAATGAATTCCCCAGACAAGTCAGTACTCAGTCTTCTGAGCAGGAATATGATCCTGCTCAGTCTACTGAACACTGACTCTATGTGGTCTCCCCAGGTGAGGTGTGGGTCCAGAGTGAAGCCCAATAACTTCACAGGTCCAGTTTTTACAAATGCCATGTCTAGACAATACAAATTGGCCATTGATTGGGTTTTGGACTCATTCAAAACAAGTTTGTTATCATTGAACCATGACGTGGCCACGGCAAGAAGGCTTTCAACCTTAGATCTAGAAATACTGATGATGGGATCCTTTGCATACAGGGTGAGGTCATCAGCATAAAATATGGCTCTACCAGACACATGGTAGTACAAGTCATTAATAGACACAAGGATAATAAATGGGCCCAGAATGGAGCCTTGAGGATCACCATGATTCACAGACAGAAGAGAGGAGTTTCTACCTCTCCAAGAACCTGTTGTCTATTGCCAAGATAGGATCTGAGCACCTTGAGTGCATAGCCGCGTATGCCATATCCTTCCAGCTTCAGGATTATGATATTGTGTGAAACGCAATCAAATGCTCGTGAAAGGTCACAAAGCAAAACTGAGACATTTAATCTATTTTTAAGTGAGCTGAGCACAGTCTGGAGAAGGGAGGCTACTGCCGAGACAGTAGACCTGCCCCTCCTAAAACCAAACTGAGCTGGCACAAGCAGGCAATGGTCCTCAAAGTGCTCGTACAACTGTTCTATTATAACAGCTTCAACACTTTGGCAAATATGGGGATGATAGCAATAGGCCTATATCTACTGACATTGTAATGGTCTCCTTTCTTAAACACTGGGACTACCCTGGATATGTTCATTGCATCAGGAAAAATTATCTCTTTCAAACAAGCATTGATCAAATTAGCAAGGTGATTTGCAACATAGTGGACAAAACCTTTTAGTAGATCAGTTGACATATCAAAGTAATCTTTACTTTTAGATTGTTTGAAACTGTGAACAATTTTAATTATGTTAAGGGCAGTAACAGGCTTCCAAGAAATGTCGAAGGGAACCAAAGGAACCTTTTCCAGGTTACATCCAGTACTGTCTACATTGGGGTTAGTTAGCCCCTTGTGAAATATTATTTACAGTGCTACAGCTGTTTACAAGTTCCTCCACAGAGTTAAGGAAATATTCATTAAAATCCTCTGCTTTAGCAAATTCACAACTAACAGGAGCTGACTTAGTCCTAGTTCCCTTAATAAAATCCCAAGCTGCTTTACATTGATTAGGCGCTTGTGAGATAGACGAGACTAGGTAAGCTTGTTTTGCCTATTTTACTTTTATTTTATAATCAGTTCTCAAACTCCTTAAATAAGGTATGAGAGCAGGGTTTTTTTTTTAAAATATCGCTAACTAGGATTACTTGATCTCTCAACATAGACAACTCAGGATTGTACCAGTTACCAGACTTCGCTGTCAAAAAAAATATGAAAATGACATACAAGCAGGAAGGTAGGCCAGAGATTCATTCCATAAATTCTGATATGATTTCAACACATCGTGAAAGGCCTTAACATTTATTGGGCTGAGTAACCTAGAGCTAACCTTAAAACTAAGTTTACCAGCTAACAGTTCCTCCACCTTCGAGTCAAATTTAGGTCCAGTAGACAAACTTAGGATGACATGTTGATGGTCAGCAATCTGATCTCTGCTAACCCAAGCACGATAGTTCCAGCAGTCAAAGTTGGTTAAGAATGTGTCCAGAGATGCTTTACCTCTTGTTGGCTCAATAATACTACTATAGATATTGAAACTACGTAGTAGGTTTAAAAAATCACGAGCCTCACTTGTAGGCTTTAGCTAATCTATGTTATGGTCAGTTCCAAAGACCACAGAGAGACCAAGAGTGGTCAGATAATAAAAACGCTGGTTTAGAAGTCTAAAAAAGTGACAATACTACCACTTGGTGACCTGTACATGGTAACAACAACCAGAGATAATTCATGTATTGCTACAGCTGCAATACATGCATTTTAAATATAAGCATCTAAATACCCTGGTACTACAAAATGAGTATAAGTTCAGTGTACTTTAACCTTTCATCAAAATTAAATTTTACTAAGAAAACTTAACAAAACTTAGCGAGGAACTTAAAGTTTTCTTCAAACCATTCTAGATTCTCAACAAGAAAGAAGCGCTTAAAGAATGTGTTGCTCATGCGATGCCGGTGATGCAGAAAGCCGTTCAACTACATTTGTGGTACGAGATTCACGGCAAGACAAACATGGTGGAGTATTATATAGGTAAATAAAATAATGTTGTTTAAAAATATCAAATATTTTTGAAACTTAGCTATAGTAGCTAAATGCAATATTACGTTTTCTTTGATGATTTATCTCGTTACTATAGCTCTGCAATGAAACTATCGATGAATGGTCAGTTGAATTTTAATCTCTGCGAGCTAATCTTATACGAGGTTCATGTATAAATAATACAATCTGAACTTTGTGTCATATGCTATTTAATGATTTCGGCCCAAAAACGAGATGATTTTCCTTATTTAAAAAATATAATAATGCACTTTACCTTGGATAGTGGTCAAAATTGAAATTGTCTGTAACGAGAATATATCTTTGGACGGATCTTTTTCATCGATATATATACTTATCAAAAATTCCGACATTATAACACTATTTAATTACAATTCCTTGTGAGCTTTACTCTAAAGAACTTCATACACAACACACCCAGAAACATGTTATCTTGAGTAGTTAACTAAGTCTTGTTTCTAAAACAGTACCCTGGCCAATGAAATTAACGTTCGTAACGAACCTCATGTACGAGTATTTATTCCTTGAAAGGTTTTACGTACTTTTACAATGTTACTCAGTTTGAACAACTCTTGACAGGACTTTTGGTAAATACAATCCTGACTGAAATGAGCAATGGACTCCAGAAGGATCCAACACAAAGCAGACAAAATCTTGAAGATCCTGAAAATGGTCACACTGAGTCCAAATTTGGGGAAAGAAGATTAAAGATGCATTTTCATGGATCGCATGACGTGACAGTAAGCCCGCTGTTCTGGGTTCTTAGCCAAGATGAGACCTACTATGCTCTTACAGGAGACACTCTCATTGTAGAGATGACCTCAGACTATACCGTCCAAGTAAGCTATTCAGGGTTTACAAATTTTACTTTTCATGCAATTCTTAATACTTTCAAAAGGTTATATATTCCATTTTATATATACGTCCTAATAAATATTGCTTTAAAACATCAGTAGCATAACAATTTATCAAGATTTAATTAAAATCAGGAAAAATATAAAGACATAACAATGTATGCTGAACGGAATGGATTCTTGTGGGTATACGTAAAATAACTTGTTAGACGATAACCGTAACGATAGTATTAATGATTATTTTGATAAACAAAGTTTTGACATATTTCGCAGGTATTCCTTTTTTCTCCCCTCACATTGGGAAAGGGCGAGAAATTTAGGCAGATATCATTAAAACCTCTGTGCGGCAAGGAAGATTGCAAATATGAAGAATTTGAGAAAGCTTTGACGAAATTCTCATATGATGAACCTACGTGGAATTCAAAGTGTAAAGATGATGCTAAGCTTACCAGTGATGATAGACCTTTGCCACATGATATCAATGATGAAGATTTACAAATAATGCAAAGACCAGTGACGAATTGAAAGAGGAGAGAGTTAAGTAAAAACATAAGGACAATGAAAAATGTAAAAAAAAATGTTAACATTTTTATAAAGAAGTCAAGGAGAAGTCAAATTGGAGAGGGATCAAAATCCGACTCAAATCTTCAAAATATTTGTGAGGTTTGTTTGTTGTTTCATTATTTTATGGTGACGGGTTTTCACCCACATATTTTTGTAATGGAAATTCGACAGAATTATGCTTAGCTAACATCAGTAAAATTAATTTAGCCCCCTTACTGTTTCAATCTAAATTATACCCCATAAAATACTTGCGTTGTAGGTGGTAGGTATTTCACGTCTTAAGCCGGGTTTTCCTAGGCGCGGAGTCGGCCAGCGGAGAGAGGAACGCGGAGAACGGACTCAGCTTGTCTTAGGCAATTTAATGTTACTGTTTTCCTAGAAGCGGAGCGGAATGCCATGTTAATTTCAATTCCGCTCTCCGCGTTCCTCTCTCCGCTGGCCGACTCCACGCCTAGGAAAACCCAGCTTTAGGGAGTAAATAGTTATTTGTGCAACTAGTGAGAAAAGTGAGCAATTGACTCACTCGAGAGAAATCCTTACCATAAAAAAAAACCATAGAGAAATACTTTTCCTACAGTTACCATAAAACAAATAAATTGGTGAAGAAACATAACCTATTTTTATACAGAAGTGAACTTTTAACATAACATTTAATGCGAAGTGACAAATACAACAGTACAACAGCTGACCAGCTGATTTACAGCCAGTGCTGCCAACGTATTTCGCGCGCATACGACGTTGACTGCATGTTACGCGCTCACTATTTCGTGCCTTCACGATGCAAATCTGGAGTGAGACAAAGTAATTAGAGTGAGACAATGTTAACATTGTCTCACTGATGAGCGAATTGGCCACTTTGCTTTCTCAAATCAGTGAGAGAACATGTACATTGTTAGGTAACTGTAGGAAAAAGCCTTTTTAGTCCATAGGGTGTATGCATCTGTTGTTGAAACTTGGTTGTTAACTTCAATTGTATTGTAACCAAATCACATGTATTGAAATTATGTATCGGTTAGTTTTTACATGTCACCAATAAATACTTTGTGTGTATAACAGTAAAAATAGATTTACGGCAATAAATAAATATTAAATATAGTGTTTCAATACCGTATACTCATGTTGATGTTTTAATAGCTCTAAGACTTATAAATGTTTTAAAACAGCAACCATCATCATGCAACAGTAATTGGATAACCTATAATAATATTGTACTTATGAATTAGAGCTTTAACTGCAGACTTAATAATCTACATTATTGTGAATGACGGTCAAGGGTACGTATGCTAACATGCTCATTAAAATAAAATAAAAATGTGTTCTGTGACATTCTTCCTAGTAAGAACCCTCCGCTGAGTAAGTCCATTATTTGTCTTACATGTACTGATAAAAGGTAAATAATTATTATCTGTGTATTGTTACTTTCTATATGTTAATCTATAAATATAAAAATTCAATGTATGTTTATTTGTATGTATGTATGTTTGTTTGTTTGTTTGTCCTTTATGGACTCTGAAACCGCTCGGCAGATTGTAATGAAACTTTCAGGCATTATTAAGCATTATTCAAGGATTATTTGTGTGAAGTTTGGTGCAGATCCGTCAAAAGGGCTCCGCCCCAGTGGCTCTGGAGTTTCCCATGTTAACTTTATGAGTACTCATATTTAAATAGAATTAAAGGTGAGTGAGCGTAGCGAACGAACTTCAACCAGGACGTGATTGAGCCATGCGAACGAGCTCATCTTGAAAATTAACGAGCATTGACATAAAACCACATTAGGACAGGACGACCTCTGTCGGGCCAGCTAGGTATCTTATATGGAAGAGAAACTGAATTTTGTCAGTTAGGTTATGACTGTTGAAATCGGTTTTTTTTCTAACTTCTCCAAAACGCCCAATTTATTTTCCTTATGACAGTAATGTAGAACTTGCAGACGGTGTTAATGTCATTGATGTAGTGATTACCGACAATAAGGTGTTGGGCAAAAGCTTATTATTATTTTTGCTGATTCCTCAAATTATTTCTTAACATAACCATAAAGTTAGAGTTGTGTTGACTATCAGTGTGCGTTATTATTGTGATGACTAGTGGTAATAGGGTAGGTTGTGGTGAAAAATTGTGTTCGAACCATGGACCGAAATGGTTTTGCAGTCGGCAAAACCTCACTTTCGACCCTAGGTAAAGAAATATATTATTTAGGTCCTAGGGATGTAAATCCTGCTCGGTCCCCAAATGACGATGACAGCTGGCTTGGACAGCAAAACGTAGCTTTCAGCCTCCAACGTTTGTAAAATAGCTAAAAACATCGTATTGTGATGAAAAAGTGCTATTGCTTTGAATACTGGACTATGTTCGTGATCGTCCTGATTACTCTTGCCAACACAATTTAAGTTGTCTGATTTTCATTTGCAACTATGGCAGATAATATCTCGACAGATGATGGCTTACAAGTTTGTAAACTAGTTGACTTTCCTACCAAACTTTTCATGGTTAAATCCTTACATTTCTTTGTTTAATCGTTGGCATTGCTATATTGTGAATCAGTATAATCACACCATTTAAACAGCATTGATGCATAGAGTGCGGAAACTACTTTGTAAAATAGTTTACCTCTTTGAATTAGTAGAGGGAAGAGAGAGGGTTTTATGTTGTTTGTATAGCAATTTGATTAAACACAACAGGCCACCCACCTCAGCTGCTCTTGAGAAAATATTTGACTGCCATGTTGACATCCTGGTAAGAATGTTCGGACTCTTTCAGACCTCTGTAGATTTTAAGGGAAAATAACAAATTTACCACTGTTGAATCTTATTGGTCAATCTTTTAAGTATAATTCAAGAACTTATTACTTAATTACGTTATTTCCTATTCATAGCTTTGAGAGGGTGTCTCCGTACTCTTAACTGATCTTTTGAATATATGAATCCTGGACCCAAACAAAGAAAAATATTTAAGTTAAACTAAATTTATTTTTTATAGTACAAAATTATAAGCTAGACTAGATTTTTATGGCAATCAACTTATCAATCAAAATATTGCTAATAAAGTGTTTATCTTAATAGCTAGATGTCTATGTCTAATAGTTAGATGTCGGACAATCAGGCTAAACTATCAATAAATCTTGGAAAAGAGACTCATTTCAATCATGAACACTTTCATTGTAGGGCATTAATGAAGGTGGAGCGTAGTTAAGTGTTTAGCTGACACAAACAGTTTGGACTATTTCTTTAAACGTAGGTTCTATTTCTTATCTGTAAATATTTTCCGTATTTCGATTTGGTTTATGATTGAATCTACCATTTAATCTACCAACCTTGTATAAAAGAATTTAAAATGTTTCCAAATAGCTGTAAAATAATATAATAGCTAATAATATATAATAGCTGTAAGTAGGCCTATCTGAATGTTGTCCAACATTAATAATTAAAATTGTAATCAACATAAGCATTAGCGTTGTGCATTAATACGTCACCTACGCGTTGAAGTTATGCATCACAACCTTCACGTACATAATTTCGTTCTGGTAACATTAATGTTTTTTACCGTTCATGGATGATGGCTTTGAAAAAGACTTAATTTGACTAGAGTTTGAAAATGGCAAATTACATAAAAAATATGAAAATAATGTTTATGAATTTATTAATATATAATTTGAAGAATACTTAAGTTTGACTTTAAATGTTGCAGCCAACACGAAAAAAATTATAAAAGTAAAATTAGTACATATTGAGTTTACGTCCATTGTTTTTCAAAGGTGTTAACATATTGGATTTATCAACATGTGTTTTATATATACAGTATATATATATATGAAAAGCATTTCTTGGTAAACCTAACACGTTAGATTCAATGTGACATATCTCAGCTGAAAGTCTAGAGTAGGACTATTCTCTGGGGACATGTCCACTCGACCACCATCTTGGTCCAGTAGACATACGAGTTATATTCTTGTATTTTCAGTTGATTTATAAATCTTTGAAAATGTTTATACATTTGGGACATAATCTTATACTTATTTTATCCAATTAGCTTACCTATCAAAATCAATTTAAATTACTTTCCAATGAATTGTTATTGTAATTTATGAAAACAGTTAGTTAGTGTAAACAATTTTTTTGTGGTTTGGAAATTTTATTTTTCTGCAAATTACTTCTTGTAGTCGTGCAATTTTAAAATTCAAATATTAAACTATTTGTTGTGATTTCAAAAATCGGTATTTCATTGAAACTGAATAACATTGAACCTGTAAAGAGTCTCAATGTCCAGATAAGAATTATTTTCGATCAACTTATAATTTAAGTTAGGTAGTAAAGAACCTTATGTTAGAGGTTATTGATTTTGTATTAAACGTAATTTTTATTATTAAGGTAAATATTTAATTAAGTTGGACGATAACAAAATTCACACTCATGCAGTAGCACATGAAAATTTTTTTTATATGATCGGATATCATGTTTTTGGCTGATTATATAAAATAATAGCGGCTAAGGTGACAACAAATTATTTTTTTATTTTTATGAAGAATGTATGCAAGATCCATAAACAAAAGTCTTTAGGACTGCGTTTTACAACGTATTTGAGGGAAGTAACTTTTATATGTTAATTTAGATCATATTGAAAAAACAACAACAATGTTAAAACTAGATCTAATATTTAAGTCGAAAGTGAAATAAAATCACGTTTGCAGCTTATTTTTTTTCAATTTGCAGCTTTTGTTCGTTATTTAGAAACATGTAAAGATATTTTTGTTCGAAGATTACTTAGTAATCCATGTATATCCATGATATTTACAACACAAGTGTAAGTAGTTTCCTTAAGATATTCATGTCTTTTGAAATACAAATACAATACTTAAAACACGTTTAATTTATGTTGGTATAGTCAAAAAAATTAGTAATGATTAGTTTCTAACAAAAAATTACTACAGCTTTGTAGAATTTGTTTGTAAAGAGAATGTACATTATAATATCGTATTAAACAA